CACACACACACACCCGCACCTGTTTAATCGCCTCGTTTTGCCCTGGTGTGTAGCGGGGCTATGGCCTGTGGACCTGCGTCCCCTCCTGGAGTGCCAAGTCCTGGAGAGCAGGAGCCCGTTTCTCTCACTATTACCAAGTCTATGGGGCGCCTGCCTTGTGCGTCTGTGCACCAGGCCCCGTGCGAGACCCTCGGGGACCGCTGTCGAAGGCGCTGTCACTGGATTCACTTGCTGGACGGAGACACAGGTGGCCCAGTGCCAGTCCTCAGGAGAGGAAGGCAGGAGAGCTGGTCTTGCTCCCAGAACCCCAGCCCTGACTTCACCAGGACCATTCGCCGTCCATGACTCTAAGGGGGCTCTCTGTTTGGGAGAGTCGGGGTCCCGCTCCTGTCACCATCCGTTCCAGAAGGCCAGGAGACAGCCTCGGGAAGAGCCTGGATGTTCTCGCCCTGAGGGGACAACCCAGATGACACAGCAGGAAGGGATTGGTGGGGCCCCCCCTGGAGCTCTGTGCTGGATTTTCTCCCCCCGGGGCGGGGTGTCAGGGACTGTGTCCCAAGACCCCTGCACAGCTCCTCAGGCAGCCTGACAGCATTCACCCCCGTTCCTCCACCTACCCCTGCCTCCAGGGCCCTTTCACTTCCTCCCTCCCTCCTCCCTTTTTCCCTTATTCCTGTGCCTGGTCATTGGGGATTTTCAGGCAGAAGCGTATGGGATGGGGGGGAGGGGGACAGACCCTCTTTTCCTGTGCTCATTCATTCTTTCATTAACTCAAAAGCCATTTCTGAAGTGTCCCTGTGCTAGGCCCCGTGCTCCCAATGTTATAGATCAGGAAATAATCTGCCATTTAGACAGGCCCAGTGACTCTATGTCCTCCAGACGCGACTCCACGCCCCTGTCCCTGTCCAGTCTAGGGGAGGGGGACATTGTCTTTCAGGCACATCGAGCTNTGTCCTCCAGACGCGACTCCACGCCCCTGTCCCTGTCCAGTCTAGGGGAGGGGGACATTGTCTTTCAGGCACATCCAGCTCCTTCGGTTCTCAGTCGCAGGCGGTGGTGATGGAGCCAGATCTAGGCAGACCTGAGCCCTGCTGCTGTAACGGTGGGGACCGGGAAGCCAACCCCGGGAGGGAACCCAGAGGTTCCTTGGCTGCTGGCTGCCAGCTGAGGTGTGACAGGCAGAGACGGTCCAGCAACCCAGAAACCCTGCCAAGGGCCGAGAGTCACGGGGGTTCTCCGGCCTCTGGAAATTCCCGGGTCCTCTGGCCAGGCCTCCGTCCTGCTCCTCTGCTCACTGGTGAGGCCCCGAGTGGGCCTGTTTTGCAGTGAGTGAGCCAGGAACACGGACCTGCGGAGACAAACGTCGTGCCTGGTCACACACAGAAACTGGGGATGGTTTGGTGAAGCAACCTAACCACGTTGGAACAACAGTCTTTTCTGTCTTTTAAACTGGCGATAAGAAATTCCAGCATCCAGTTTATGGCTCAATAATTATCCAAAAGAACTGAACAAGCATTATGTTTTTATGGCTTTCCCCGAGCGTTTGTGTGGTGTTACGATCTTCTCTATTGGAGTAGGATCTCAGCCTTTCCCCTTCTCGCCTCTTTTTGCTTAAAATGAGGTTTTAATTGTGTATGCTCGTATGTACCTAAAAAATAACCTTGGTGAGGATACAGTGGAAACCCAGGGTTGGAACTGGGAGTGAAGGGTTGGAGAGGGACCCCTTATTTTATCCCCTTTGGTGATGCTTTATTATTATTTTTTAATCGTGTGTATTTATTAGTGTTGTAAGGCCATTTTTAAAATCTAGTTTTTTGAGGACTGAATGCGATGTGGTACACTGCGTTGGATCCTTAGAAAACAAAATGGTCATTAGTGGGAAAACTGGCGAAATCTGAATTTTTTTTAGAAAACTAGTTTTAAAAAACTGAAGCAGAAGAGGCCATGTAATGGGTCTGGAAAGAGAGATTACTTCTCCGGGAATGAGTTTCCCAGTGCTCTTGGGGTTTTCGTTGACTAGGGTGAGCAAGGTGTAAGCCTCTGCAGGGTCTCTACAGCTCTGATGTGCACATTCACTCAAATTCAAGTTACTTTCTACTTCCCGTTGGTTTGATAGATGCCTATAAAATCGTAAGTGGTTTTCACTAAATGCAGTTTCCAGATTCCTTACTCAATTACCCTGCCGCAAGCGCACAATGAATAACTTGTTAATTCGTCTCTACCCATATCCCAAGTTGAAAAATGGAAAGAGCCCAATCCTTGGCAATATCTTAAAAAGCAATTACCGCAAGTTATTTTCCCCAAATAGATAATCTGTGAAATCGAAGTACGTTTCAAATAGTTGCCATAAGTACTTTCTTCTAGCCAAGTGAGTGAGTGTAGCCATTTCAGAACAGCCTAGTGAAGTTTGGGGTGAGCTGAGGACCCCTCACCAATACCTGGGCTCCCTGGCTCTCCGCCTGATTTGCGCTGGGCCGGTATTTATATTTGGTCTGCCAGTAACATCTGTTGAAATAGGCGCGAGGGGAGGGCATGGTAAAATAGAAGGCGATCCTCAGAGATGCTTTCTGTATAATGAGGGAAGACCAGCAAATATAAGTAAAGATGCAATAGAAAAGCAGTAAGCTTAAAATAAAAAAAAGTGTTATCTGGAGCAGCCCAGGCTGCTGAGGATGGAGCCGTTCTGGGCCACTATCCTGTTCTGTATCCTCAATGCTTCCCACCACAGTCCTGACTCCCCCAAACCTTTCTGAGGCCTGCCTTTCCCCTCTAAGTGCTAAGTACTCTCTTCCCCAGATCTCTTTGTTGTTCAAGTGAGTCCCTCAGTGCTGTGCTAAGACCTGGCCCAGGAGCCCTGGGTGTTTATTGAAAAAAGAACCAGGAAAGACACAGCCCAGGGGAGTCGATGGCTCTGCTTCCACCTGGAGATCCCAGAGCTGTTGGCCGCTTTGATCCTGGCCTCGCTTTGATTTCATCTCCTCTCTTGCCCAGGCCTCTCCAGTCCCCAAAGTTTATTTCAGAACCAGTGGTTACAAGAGATTGAGAGACAACACCCCCCCCCCAAAAAGGTATTAAATGTCAGGAAAGTGATAAATGTCGAGGAGCTTTCTTTGTTGTTTAGGGAACCTCATATATATTCACATAACAAACACAAAATAGATTAAAATAGATTTTGAACCCAACAGTTTTCTTAAGATGATTTCTTTTCTTCTTTCAGTTGTTTCCACCCAAAGCCTCTGAGTAGGAAAGACCCCTCTGTGTGAGTCTTTCATGACCCCTGTTCACATAACAAACCAATAAAGTTAAAGGAACTTTTCAATTTCAGAGAAAGGAAACCATAAATTTTCTAAGTTTGTGTCTTCACACTTGAAATAAAGAGCTGAGACAACTAGCAGAATACTTGGTCATCAAACCCAATATCTGTTTGACTCTTTTCTGGAAAGTGCCTATTGAGCACTTTGAATGGATTAGTGCGACCGAGGACCTGAGTTTTTTATTACATTTCAGTGTAATTGATTTAAATTTAAATAGCCACCTATGGCTAGCTAGTGGCTGCCACATATATAACAGCACAGTTCTATATCACCATCTGGCAAATCGCTCTTTTTTATATGTAGATACAAAGAGATATTTAGTTGGCATAAAGTCATGCATTAGAGTTGAACTCT